ACGGTCACGGTCCTCCCGTTGGTCATCGGTTTGCTCGAGCGGGCCCAGTAACGTCTCCATCATGAGACTTTGTTGTTACTGTGTCTGGCATATCGGATACGTCACGGGGAACTTGCCAGGCTCTGCCGTGCGGGCGAGATACTCTCGGTAGCTTGCCGGGCTCTCCAAGAGGGGCGGAGGAATCGAACTCAGGTCGGCCAGGTTGGCTGCGTGTAAGGCAAACGCCCTACCGCTGTGCTATATGAATTAGTTTTATTTAAATTTTGTTTTGGAGCCATTCCTGGTGGTGCTGAGAGCTGTTCTCTGGCAAAGTGCTCAGCAGTGACCCCTGGCAGTGCTGGGGGACCCTGCGACCCTACAGATTAAAAATGGGCCGCGTGCAAACCACCGAGCTCTCTCTGGCCTTAACAATTTCATTTGTGCGTGAACCTCCCAAGTGGTGCCCAGGTAGCCTCGGGGTCACAGCTGGGACCAGTTGAAAGTGAGGGTCCAAGGAGGGGGTGCTGCCCACCTGTGGCACCCAGGGGTGCTCAGGGAGGTCTAGAGCCGCATCTAGCACTGCTCAGGGAGCCACATGGTACCAGGGATCCAGCCTGGTTCTGTTCAACCCCTGTATGATATCTGAAGTCCTAAAAAATAAATTTAAAAGCAAAAAAGCTACAATGATATGAAAGTTTCAAACTGGCAGTTAGAAATGTGTTCATGGGGCTGGAGTGACAGTCCAGCTGGAGAGTGTTTGCCTTGCACGCTGCCGACCTGGGTTCAGTCCCCAGCATCCCAAACGGTCCCCCGAGCACCGCCAGGAGTGATTCCGGAGTGCAGAGCCAGGAGCAACCCCTGAGCAATCGCTGGGTGTGACCTGATCAAAATCATGACCACTGCCTCGAGCAGGCCCCAGTAACGTCTCCTTCATCCTAGCCCTGAGATTTTTTAAAAAGTGCCATATTCAAACTCTTTCAGGGTTAGGAGAAGGAGACCCATCATTGTTACTGGTATTTGGCATATTGGGTACACCACGGGGAGTTTGCCAGACTCTGCCATGTGGGCAGGTTACATTCGGTAGCCTGCCAGTTTGTCCAAAGTAGGAATGAGATAATAAGATGTCATGCGGCCGCAAATGCGGCTGTGTGCTTCCGGGAGCTGGGTTTTATAGTCTCTGGGTCTTGGCCGTTGATGGGATTACACGGCTCCAGGGGGCCAGTTGGTGGGTGTGACCCCTGCCTACTGGAATATGGAGGATCTGGGTGGAGGATGCTCAGCCCCGATCCGAGCAGGCTTGGAGATGTCAGCCCCGGGACCGGCATGCCTTTGTTCCTCTGCCTTTGTTCCTCTTTTTGGTGTGACCCAAAAAGCAAAAAACAAACAAACAAAAGAAATGTGTTCTAGGGTAGATGTAGATGTCTACCGGGTGTAGCTGATGCTTCAGGACGTGTGGAGTGTGAACCTGAAGAGACCTTGGCGCAGCAGGTCCATGGGGGTCGGGCTGGCAATGAGCTCCTGGGAAGTCATAAAATCAACCTAGGATTCCAAGAAGTCACTCTGCTCCCAGAAGCCTGGAGGCCGGAGCCCTCTGCGGACACAGGAGCTGAGCCTTGGGCTGGGCCCCTCTGGAGAGCAGAGGCTCCCGCAGGAACAAAGGCCAAGGACCGGACCGAAGCTCTTCCCTGGCCAGCCACAGACCCTCCCCTGTCTCCTACCAGCCTCAAGCCCCAACCTCACCCTCAGACCAGCTCTGCCGGGGCTGGACAGTCCCCCCGAGACGTGGCCTCTGGGCTGCCCCCTGCGGAGACGCGGGTTCTCCTGACCGCGCCTCTGTCTCCTTCCTCCCATCTGGAAAACTGTTCCCTTCGCCCTGGGTCCCCTCCTCCTGCTACGTCTTTCCTCCCGAGGCCCAGGGCAGGGCGGGCCGCGCTTCCGGCCCAGGTTCCTTTGCCTGGAGCAATTGTTGCTGAGCCCCTCGGCTCCCGGTCCCAGGCGGGGGTGTCACGTCCCACGCCGTGGAGTGCAAGTGGGACCCAGGTCCAGTCAACGAGGGCGTGTGGAGCTGGGGAGGATGTGAGTCTGTGCTGTGCAGATTCCTTGGTCCTCGCCCGGAGTGAGCCAGGACGCCCCTCTGGGGCTCTCCCGCCACCAGTAAGTCACCCACAGCAGTGCTCATCATAAGGAAGCATTTTGCGTCTCTGTATTTGTTTTTGGGCCACACTGGGTGGTGACCAGGGTTTACTCCTGACTCTGTGCTCAGAGCTCACTCCTGGTGGGCCAGGGGGACCAGATGGGGTATTGGGGGTTCAACCCAGGTCGGCCACATGCAAGGCTGCCCAGCTTGGGGACCCGTGTGGGGGTGGGTAGAACCCACGCCTCCTGCCTGCAAGGCTTACACCCAGTCCAATGGCGCCCATTTTATAGGGGGCAAGGCTGGGACGGGGCCAGCTCATCTGAGGATACTGTGTAACCAACGGTTGTGAGGGTGTACACACCCAAAACACTCGGAGAGAACAGGGCCCTGTGTGTGTGCCAGCCTCAGCACGTGACACGTTTGGGGGCTGGGGTGCCCACCGGCGACTGTCCATCGAGCTGGCCGGACATTCAGCGCTGTTCCAAGGAGGTGACGCCGCCAGGCCCCGGGGCTGGGGGTTCCCTGGACCCCTGGGCTGGAGGCCTCCAGGGCTGCACCAGGAGGTGCTCAGGGGACCATGTGGTGTCGGGAATTGATGCCCCTGCCTTGTACCATCTCCTGGCTGCTGGTGACTCCCGCAGCCCCCGAGCAGGCCGCTAGGAGCCGGGATATGCAGGATCCTGTCAGTTTGGCCCACCCAGGCCCACTCGCTTCCTGCTGGGCACCCGCCCCTGAGCAGGGCTCGGGGAGGCGCCGCAACAGTGCTCTGATGTGACCGAGGACGGGGCTTGCACGTGGCCCTGCACTGTTCCCCTCCCCGGGACACTTCTGAAGTCCTCAGGACTCCAAACAGGGCTAAAACCTGGGCCTGAGCATGGGGCTGAGAGCAGCTCCTGAGTGGACCCCATGCCCAAATCAAGTAGAAAGTCCCTCCCGGCAGGTGTGTGTGCCAGAGGGGCGCACAGGGGGTGGGGGGGCCTGGAGCCGACCCCCAGCTTCCTCCCGAGGAGGGTCTTCCCTTCCTCCCTTTCGGGTGTGGCTGGCTCTGCTGAACCAGGCGCTTTCTTTAAAGTCTCTTTGTTGACTTAAAGCCCCTACTGTGCCTTTGAATATTTTGGGGGTGGGTGGGAGGCTCCCCCGAGAAGGGGCCTTTGCCCCTCTGCTCCACGCTGTGGCGGTCACTTGGCGACTCGGGCACAGGCCCTTCTGTGAAGACACCAAGTGCCCTGGGTCCTTGGGCAGGATTCCGTGACGAAGCCAAGAGAACGGGAACATGAAACCCAGCCCGCCAGTCACGCGGTGCTGCAGCGTGTGGTCCCGGCCCAGGGACCTGCCAGCTGCAAGTCCCCACCCCCAAACACCCCGTCTGGACGAGTCCTGGCTCAGAGACGCCGGGGCCACGCTCCCTGTGAACCTGGACCGGGCCACCTGTGCAGGGCCCCAAGGTCCTTCCACAGCCCAGTCGCGGGGCTGCAGGAAGAGGCTTCCCGGGGGGACGGCCCAGCACCCCCTTCTCTGCAGCCCTCCCTGCCGAATGCGGCCCCAGCAGATGAGAATGAAGACAAGGCGCGTCCGGGTGTAGTCAAAGGCTGGGATTTTTTTTTTTTGTTTCCTTTTTTTTTTTTTTGTAAAGAAAAATAAGGTTGTGGCTTTTGTTCAAAAGGAAACTGAAGTGAGGGTTGGGAAAACAGAGAGAAACCAGAAAACAGCGAGTCCCCAAACGGCTCCTCCGCTGCTGGGGCATCCTCAGGAGGGAAGTTGGTTTTATCAGGTGAAAAATAAAGTAAAAAACTCGCGCTGTACAAACGAGGGCCGGGAGGAGGGCTGTGGGCGGGAGGGGCCAGAGCGGCCCCTTCCCCACATGGTAAAAAAAATGAATTAAAAAAAAAAAAGCACCCAAAGCTTTAAAAAATGGGCGTCCTGGCGAGGGGGAGGACTGGGGGCGTCTGGCCGCGTCTGGCCAGGCTCAAGGCCTGACGGGAGAAACGTGTAGGAAAATAAACTGGAACTTTATCCCTGAATGACAGTGAAGACGCCTCCGCCCGCCCTCGAGCCGGCTCCAAGGCTCAGTGTGTGCATGGCTGTGCTCACACACAGCACACGTGCGTAGGCACATGGCATACGTGTACGTACCCCGGCACACATATACGCACACGTGCACACGTATATGCACAACACGGGCACAGGCCTGCTGCTCACCCTCACGCCCAGCGCCTGTCCCTTACGGACTGAGCCCCCTCCCCTCGGTGGGAGGGAACCCCAACAGGGCTGAGGGAGAGTCAGCGGGGGTCCCGGGAGTGGGGTGTCGGTGGCCGGACTGGGCGGGTGACACCAGAGCCAGACCGGCGGTGCTGGCGGAGGGAAGGGCTGGGACACGGGGAGCAGGGAGAGGGGGTGCCGCTGGGCGGGGGTCAGAGGTAACAGAACCAGGGGCCGGAGGACACGCTTCCACGGACCCCTGGGCCTGAGCGCAGGAAGAAGCCGCCTAGAGGACGCCTGTCACCACGTTGTCCCGGGCAGGGTCCAGGCTGGTGGCACGGGCCCTCGGCCTGGGGGATGAAGTACAGTACGAGATGGGGTCTCCCCGTGGGCGTGGGGCCAGTGGGTGGCCCGGAGCACAAGGTCCACCAGGCAGGGCTGGAGGGCAGGGGCACCCCAAGGGCAAAGCAGGGCCTGGGGGGCCCCGGCTTCTGGATCAGCGTCAGCACCAAACGTAAGTAAGGCCGAGTCAGCCCAGGAGCCGCGTGAGGGCCACCTCGAGTGTCCGTGGGACGCGACCGAGCACAGGACTCGATCCGGGAGTTCGGTCTGGACGAGGGGGCGGTGGTCTCCACCAACCAAGGCCCTGTGGCGGCAGTGAGGAGCAGCATGCACCTGGGTGCTCCCCGAGCCTACTGGGGTGCGGGGGCTGTCGGGTCAACGCAGACTCTGGTACAGGTAGGCCGAGGTGAAGAGGGCGTTGGCGGCCAGGCTCACTGCCAAGAGGCCCCGGACCAGGGAGGGGCTGACGTGACCTGTAAGAGGGTGTTAGTCAGAGGTCAGAGATCCCCTGGGATGCCGCGGTCAGTCCTCCCCCCCTTCCTGGGGCGCCACCTGCAGGCAGGTCCCGGGCATGCACCTGAGACGGGCTCTGGCCGGGACACCCACTTAGAGAACGGGGCGAGGACCCTACCCAGGTCCCCAAGGCAGGTGACCAGCAGCTGGGGGGCAGCACCACATCCAGGCAGCACCGACCGGCCTCCCTGGGAACTCCCTGCTGCCCCTTGGCCCCGCTCTGGGCATTTCGACCATCTCTCCAGTGCAGGGCGTGTCCAGGCACTGGTCAGCGCGGAATACGTCCAGGCACTGTGCCCCGGGCGGCCTGGAGCCAGGCGAGATGGGGGGGTGGGCAGCCGAGTCAGATGCCTGGGGACCTGCGTGTCACCTGGGAACCACCCCCCTGCCCCTCCCCCCCCCACCCCCCCGCCCCGTGGCCATGGTGGCACTGACCTCTCCAGGCAGCAGTGTCCTCAGGGCAGCCCTGGGTGGTGGTGTCCACCATGCAGGTGGATGCGTGCGAGGAGTCGTCCTCCTTCTTGATGGGGCGGTCACTGCAGGCATTGCCGCCGTCGGGCACGGCACTCACATCTGCGAGAGACGCTGGCTCACTGGGGGGTCCCCGCCCAGACACGCAGGGGAGGTCCCCACGGGCCCCGAACGCCCACAGGCACGGCAGGGGTGCCCACCCCACGAGGAGGCTCTGGGGCCTGGCCAGCGTGCAGCCTGGCGGCCACCCTGACACGGGAAGGGCAGTCGGTCTTCCACGTCTGCACAGATCTGGAGATGCCCATGACCAGCTGCAGCCTGAGGCTCCGGGGCCCGCTCCAGGGCACAGAACCTTCCAGATCAATCTTCAAACAGCTCAAATGACTGCAGCCCTGGCTCTGTTCCCCACCAAGCCAACCGCCTTGGGGCGGGCAGGCGAGCGTGGCTGGAAGGAGTCTGTGGCGGGGCGGGGCTTAGAAGAGGCCCCCCCACAGCCACGATAGGTGCCCCCACCCGGCAGAGGTGCCCGCCGAGCCGTACCCACGGTGAGCTTGGAGTCCCGCGGCGGCGGCCTCGGAGGGGCCTGGGGCAGCTCGAGGGGGAAGAGGCGGCTGGTGGGGGGCGAGTGTTCCTCGGAGCTGCTGGGGCTGTGGGGGGCCTCCCCCGGGGGCGCCGGGAAGAGCAGCAGCTTCCGGCCCTGCAGGTTGAGGCGGGCGGGGCTGATGAGGGGCCGGCGGTGGCGCAGGGAGCCAGAGCTGGAAGCCACGGAGCTGGCCACGGACGGCGCTGGGGACGGGAGCGGTGATGAGGGGCAGCTGCTGGCCAGCAGGGAGAAGTAATCTGGAGGGCAGAGGGGACAGAGACGTGTCGGTCGGCACCGTGGCGGCCCCGCTGAGGCCACGCGGGGCAGAAGGACCCAACCCCGGCCGTGCTCAGGGCCGCTCTGCCCCGCTCCCCCCGAGCGTCCCTGGGCGCTGACAGCTGCGCCACATTGTCCCTCGGGTCTCCGGGTGCCACAGAGGGAGGCAGGGGCGGGGGTGGGAATGTGGGGGCCACTCACCGGAAAGCAGCAGCTGCCCAGGCCGGGCCACGCGCGATGGTGGACGGCTCCCACTGAAGAGGCAGCCCGAGTCTGCAAAGAGATGGACGACGGGCGTCAGCACCCCTGCTGCAGCCCCCGCCCTCTGCCAGGCCCCAACCCGCGGCCCAGGGCAGACCCGGCTTGGACCCAGCCGACAGGAGTCACATGCCCATGGTAGGGCCCCGAGTGCCAGCCTGGCTAGGGCCAACGGGCCGCTCCCAGCACCACAGACGGCAGTCGGGACCCCCCAACACAGCATCCTGGCACGTGCTGGGTGCTGGCTGGGACCCCTCGGTCCTGGGCTCGACATCGGCAGGTCTCTGCACCCCAGGGAAACAGAGATGGTGCCTTTGGAGAAGCCGACGGTGGCCACTGAGGCGGGGACCCCTCAGCCCTGGGGGAGACGCCCCCGGCTGGCTCCGAGCAGGTCAGTGGGTTTGAGTCCTGGGCGCTCCCAGGGATAAGGCGACAGGAAAGAAGGGTGGCCGCCTCCTGGGAGAGACCTGGCCACAGTCGCCAGGCAGCTCCCAGAGCAGGGCAGCCCCCGGCCCCCCCCAAGCACCTCTGTGGAAGGGAGTCGGACACTCGCAGCACTAAGGCCCGGCCCCCGTGGGCAGCCCCCACCCGTCCTTACCTGCTCGCGTCGGGGAGGGGATGGTGCCCAGCGAGAGGGCCCGGCTCAGGTGGCTGGGCAGTGAGGAGGGCGAGGGCCGGCGGGTGGAGCGGAACAGTGGCCGGCTGGCCAGCGGCACAAAGCCGGGCGGAGCCGGGACGAAGAGCGACGGCGGCGGGGGGCCCAGGACACTCGGGCAGGGCATGGCCAGGCCGGGGCCGACGGGAAAGAGGCCTGCGGCATCTCCGGGGAAGTACCTGCAAGACCGCCGGGTGCGGGAGAGGGGACGGTGAGCTGCGGCCCAGGGCCCCCCTCCCACGTGCGGGCCGGTCGGGGCCAGGCGTGCGTTAGTCGGAGCGGAGGGCAGCCTGGCACTCACGCCATTAGCAGCGGGTGGTGCGAGGTGCCAGCGTGCCCGGCCCTCCCCCCACACGCCCCCCGGTCCCGGGATCAAGCTCACAGCAAACCACCAACTGCACGACAGGTCTCGGGGCTAAAGCGACACTGATGCCCCTGCCCGCCTCGGCCAGCCCCCAAGCGGGCGCCACTTCTGGTCCCTGCCCAGAGCTGAGGGCAGAGGTGCCCCCGCAGCCTCCTGCAACCCCAGAGCCCCCCCCCCCCGGAGAGTAGCAGGGAGGCGGCCAGTGGGGGCGCCCTGGGCAGGGGCTCACGCGGACTGAGACACGCGGGATTCGCTCACAGTGCTGCCCGAAGGGCGGGTGACAGTGTCTCTTTAACCCAGGACAGGATCGATCACACCAAGGCCCAGCGGGCCCAAGCAGGTCAACCATGCTGGATTAGAGCGACCGCTCACAGGGGTGTCAAGGGTTAATACATTAGTGCTGCTGAGGGGCTGCCGGTCAGCCTTACCTCGGTCCCAAGGGACAGGGTGGGTGACGCCGGGCGGGCTGGCCCTGCAGCAGAGCTGGGGCGTTCGCCATCTGCACCCGCCAGGCCCCCCACTACTCTGCACCCCCACCACCGCTTTGAACCGGTTTTGCCAAGGAATCGTGGGGTCTGCAGGAGCCTTCTGGGGGGACCATGTGACCTCGAAGCCTTTCCGAGTGCGTGGACGTTCGGGGAACTCGGAGACATCAAGGCAGTAGCTCCCCGAGGGTCGCCCCAGCCCACCCGTCTCCCCATGACACAGCTGACGTGCCCCCCGAAACCAGACCCGGCCCTGTGAACCGTCCTCCAGAGCTGCGGCCGGTCCTGGGGGCCCCAGCAGATGGCAGCAAGGCCCTGGGCGTCCCACATGGACATCAGGGAAGCCTGCCGAGCGCCACCCGTGCCGGCCTGTTGGGGCGAGGCTCCCGAATCTGGACCCTCTGCCCGACCCAGCCAGGCGGGATCCCAAGGTCACGCCCCAGCCACCAGTGCCCTCCTGGCTCGCACCCGCGGCGGGGGACATGCCCTCCATCTCATCTCTCCTGCCTTGACCCGGCTCTGCCCTTTGGCCACGAAGAAGCTCCCAGCCGGCCCCTGAGCCCCAGTGGGGGGGGGGGCCTTCCAGCAACCCCGAGCCAGTGGCACCTGGGCCTGCCCCCCCCCACTCCTGGGGGCCCACGGTTCCCGGCCCCCCGCCTCTGCGCAGAAGGAGCATGAAAGAACCAAGCAGGAAAGACGGTGCCTGGCACCCCGCCCACACGGGCCCGGGGCGTTTATTGAAATACAGCAGCAACACCGCGACGAGCGAGGCTGGGGTCCTGGGTACAGTTCAGGTACTAGACAATCGTCCCGTGCTACACACCCAGGGGCGACCTGGCCGCTGCCCACCCGTCCGTGCCCAGCCATCCCGTGCTCAGCCGTCCTGGGCACACAGTGCGGGGACAGCTCTGGGCGGAGCTGCCACTGGGCTGCATGGGCTCAAGGCCCCCCCTCCAGCCAGGGCATCTCGGGTGCCCGCCCAGCCCCACGGAGAGGGACGGGGAGCGGGGCCGGCATACATAACTTAACTCGCACGCACGCATGCCAGGCCCCGCGGGGAGAGCACCCACCAGCCCAGGGCCAGCGGGGTCTGGGTGATTCCAGAACAAGGACAAGAAGGCCCAAGGCCCGTTCCTGTCTCCAGGGAGCGCCCCCTTCCCCTGGCCAGGGGCTCCCGAGAGCTGGGGGCTAGGCTGGAGCAGGGTCTGGAACACGGGGCTTCCAGGCCTGGGCACCCGGGCCAGTATCATGTGGGTGAGCGGAGGGAAGTGGGTGTTCCCAGACGAGGGCAGCGGCGGGGAGAGGCACGCGCTGCCACATTCAGCGGGTGCTCACCGGATCCTGGGACGAACGAGTGACCGACCGGGAGAGGCGCGAGGCCGCAAGGGGCGCCGAGAGCGTTTCCCGCCCTTTGGGGCACTCGCCCTGCCCCCCACTGGTCCAAGAACACGCTCTCCCTTCCGGGGGCTGCCGAGGGCCGTGTGGGGCTGCACCCTCAGATCGCAGGGGCGGGAGCCCCTGCCTAGGGCTCGTGGGGTCTTTGGCCAGACGGGGGTGGCAGTGGTGAGCAGCGAGGGGGCGCCCAGATCCTTGGTGGGGGCGGGCGGGGCCAGGACCGGGCGCCAGGAAAGCAGGGGTGAGGCAGCTTAGAGAGAGGCGACGCAGTGCAGGGGCGGCCTGTCCGTCCATCCGTCTGTCCGTCCGTCCCCCCGCCCCGTCACTGCGGCTTCTCTGACCTTCGGGGCCGGAACCTTCGGGTGCCTGTTGCCTTCCTCGTGGCCACGGCCGCCGTGAAGCCCACCAGGCAGCACAGGGCCGTGGCGCTGAGCTTGAGCGTGTCCAGCCAGCCGGGCGAGGCGGCCTGCAGGTGCTGCTCGGCCAGGTGCAGGGCCAGCAGCAGCGCCCACAGGCCCGCGGCGAAGGCGTCGATCCTGCGGAGCCTGTGGGGCGGGGGGACAGGGCGTGAGGACACCCCCTCACCCCCACCCCGCACGCATGCGGCCCAGGCCGGGGAGCCCCGTGCCCACGCACGTACCTCAGGCGGCCGGCCAGCAGCATGGCCAGCAGGCAGGTGAGGAGGCCCAGGGCCACCACGGCCACCTGGTGCTGCTGCCCGAGGGCCCAGAGCACCCGGAGCTTCTCGGCAGCGGGTGCCGGCAGGAGGCCCAGCAGCTGCCGCCAGCTCTCGGAGCTGGTACCGTTGTCCGCGGCGGCGCCGGCAGAGCCGTTCCCCCCGGGGGGCAGGGCTGGGGGCAGGGCAGGTCCCGGGATGAAGGGGTCTCCGGCGCCACACAGCAGGGTGGTCAGCAGGAAGGCGCAGGCCAGGAAGGCGAGGGCCCGGAGCACGATGACCTGCACCGGTGACTTCACAGCAAAGGAACAGAAGCTCTGGGGGAGAGAGGCCTGGTCAGCGGGGCCCCCGCCCAGGGCCAGCGGGCAGACGGCTCACTGGCCCTTCCGTGAAGGTCCATCCCGGGGGACCTGGCCCGGAAGCCGAGGTGGGGGTTCCAGGGGGGACGGCGGAGACGTGAGCCCCAGCCCCGCCCCCACGGACCTGCCCGTGACCGCGCTCGGCGTCCTGGCGGCGCTGGACCTGGTGGCTGAGCAGCAGGGCTCGGAGCTGGCGGTTCTGGTGCTTGAGGTAATGCTCCACGGCCGCCTGGCACGGCCGGCACAGCTTGTACACCTGCTCCAGGTGGTGCTGGTACACCTCCACCTCCTCGTCATACCTGCCCTGCGGGGACCCCGGGCGCAGGGTCAGACAGGCGGGGGCCGGGCTGGCCGGGGCTCAGGCGCGCCCGGGAGCAGGGGCCTGGCTCGGGCAGCACGGTGGGCTGGGGGCCCCCGACCCTGCGTGCTCCCCAGTTCCCGGGAGTCCCACAGTCCGGGCGAGGGGCGGGGGGCACCGTCCTCGCCAGCGGGAAACCCGGGGGGGCCGGCCGCCCGGGCTCACCTCGTCGCGCGGGGTGAAGGCCGCCAGCTGCCGGATCTTGGTGGCCTGGTGCTGGCTGCAGCGCCGGCAGAGCAGCGTCCGGCTGCTGACCCACTGCTGCTGCGGGGGGGCCAGGGGCGCGGGCGCGCTGCCCACCACGTGGTTCAGGTGCTCCAGGTACTGCGCCGGGATGGGCTTGTTGTAGTCGCCATTCTGGGGGGACATGGGGGGGTCAGGTCGCGGGGCCCCGGCCGCCCCGCGCTCCCGGCCCCTGGCCGCGGCCGGCCGTGCCCACCTCCTGGAAGCCGTTGTACTGCTCGCAGTGGGGGCAGTCCCAGCAGTTGCGGTTGCCGTAGGGCACCACGGTGTCGTGGTTGCAGAACCAGCAGTTGACGACGGTGTGCGTGGGCTTCATCCTGCGGGAGACGGCCGGCTCAGCGGGGCCTCTCGCCCACCCGGTGGCCGCCCCTCCCCCCCGGCCCCTTTAGTCTCCTGGGGGCCGTGCGGGGAGCCAACTGCTCAGCCCCAAATCCCCCAAAACCCCCTGCAGCAGGGGGGGGGGGGCGGAGGGGGGGGCAGAGACAAGATGTGCACCAGCCCCTGCAGTGACAGGTGGACCCAGACATGTGTGTGTGTGCATGCATGTGTGCGTGTATATGTGCGTGTGTGTATATGTGCGTGTGTGTGTTTGGGTGTTGCAGCAGCTGTCTCCAAGAGCCCAGAATCCAACAAGCCTGGGGACAGCTGCCCAGAGGCCACTTCTGCTGTGGCGGAGCTGCCCGCCCCCCTCCCCCCGCCAGCTTCTCGAGGCAAGCCAGGAAAGCCCCTTCCAGCCCTGCACACAGAAACAGGCTGTCCCCTGGGCCCAGTCTTGCTCTCCAACCCCCCCCCCCCCACCCTGGCGCACAGCAGCCACAGAGTTTGGCTGCCGAGTGGGCGGGCGCGGGACTGGGGCTCCCAGAGCGCGCGGTGCCCCCGGGAAGGCCACCAGCTCCAGGAGGCTGGCCGAGGGCAGGGAGCGCCCGTCTGGGGGCAAAGGGGAGAAGGCTGCAGGGTGGGGGGCGGGGGAGGGGGGCCGCCGCTCAGTGCCCCAAGCCTGACCCACGGGCACACGGGAGCTCGCGGCTGACCCGGAGCTGCAGCCTGGCACAGGCAGGAGAGAGCGAGAGGCCCCGGGCCCCACCTGCCCGGAAGTCCCCAAACCTGCCGGTTGCCAGGGCAACGCTCCAGCAGGCCCCGCCAGGTCCTGGCTCCAAGCTGTCCCTCTGGGGGGTGGGGGCACACTGGTCAGTCATGGCAGGAGCCATTCCCGAGGGCGTGCACGCGCCGAGGACAAGCGCTGGCCACTGGCAGTGTCCCCCTACCCCCCCTGCACACTGTCTCTAGGTGGCCGGTCCCTGCGCCTGTACCACCCCTTCACACAGCCCTCTCTAGGTGACCGGTCCCAGGGCCTGTGACCCCTCTCACAGCTGCCATCAGGTGACCCTCCCTGGGCCTATGGCCTCTGGGACCCCTCAGGCCTTGGCTCATGGTCCAGCCCTCTGCTCGGCTCAGGGTGACACCCCGAGTCCCCCCAGCCCTTCCGCCAGTCAGCTCTGGGTCCGAGCACTTGTCACTGCAGGCCGGGTGAGGGGACAGACAGGGAGGAACAGGGCAGGACAGGAGGCTCCCGCGCTTTAGGCCCTGCTGGGGTTCAGGGGGCCCCACACAGCAGAAAGCTCCGGAGAAGCCAGGCAGAAGCGTCAATGCCAGGCCCTGCCTGCCCAAGCCTAGATCCATATGCCGTCCACAGCGCCGGCCCACAGCTCACTGACCCTAACAGCGCGTCACTCCCACAGCTAACCCTAACCATGTCACCTCACAGCCGACTGGCCCTAACAACACATCCCCCCACAGCCTTCTGGCCCTATCAGTGTCACCCCACAGCCAACTGACCGTATCAGTGTCAGTCCACAATGGACTGACCCTAACAGTGACTGACCGTGACTCTGTCACCCCACAGCCGACCAGCTCTAACAGTGTCAGCTCACAGACAACTGATCCTATCAGTGTCACCAGACAACTGTCTGGCCCTGTCAGTATCAGCCCACAAGTGACTGACTATACCAGAGAATGACCCTGGCCCTAACAGTGTCAGATGACAGACCCTGACAGTGTCACCCCACAGCCGACCAACTCTAACAGTGTTTGCCCACAATGGACTGACCCTAACAGTGACTGACCGTGACTGTCGTCACCCCACAGCCGGCCAGCCCTAACACTGCCAGCTCACAGCCGACTGACCCCAACAGTGTCACCCCACACCCTACCGACCCTAAAAGTGTGTGCCCACAATGGACTGACTCCAGCAGTGACTGACTCTAACAGCATGTCATGCCACAGCTCTAACGGTGTCAGCTCACAGCTGACCGACTGTATCAGCGTCAGCCCACACAACGGACTGACCCTAACAGTGACTGGCCCTAACAGTGTGTCACCCCACAGCCACCAACCCTCACAGTGTCTGCCCAAAACCGACTGACCCCAACAGTCAGTCCATAGCCGACTGACCTACACAGTGTCAGTCCACAGCTGACCAACGCTAACCGTGTTACCCCGAATTCCTGCCAACCACGCAGGGGCCCTCTCCTTGCCATTCCCCACCAACGTGGGCCCGGCACCCCGGGAGCTGGAGCTCCACACCCGCACCCAGGACAGTGCTGGGCAGTGACGCTGAGGGTGCCACCCCTGCCAGCCTAGGAGGATGCGAGTGACCAGTCGCCTGGGTGTTGAGAGGGGGCTCCTTGGGGACTTGTGGGAAGAGCCGGGTGCTGATGGACACCGCAGGTTGGGGTGGGTGGGGGGGCGCTCCCTCGTGCCTGAGTGGCATCACACATTGTCCCTTCCAAGAGGGAGAAACTGAGGTCCCTACACCCCAGGGCTGGGCCACACAGGAGGCCCCAGCAGGGCTGCTAATTGCCAAGCAAGTCCAGGAGGGGGCAGAGCCGGCCCAGAGCACCCCGTTTTGGGGCACCCCACTGCAGGGAGGGCAGCACAAAGACCAGGCCGAAGACCTCCGGGGACAGCGGCCACCCTGGGAGCATCTGCCTGGACCCCCAGCCCAGTTTGGGGGTCAGCCGGGCATTCGCATGTTTGGGGCAGGGCAGGGGCGCCCCAGCAGCCCCTGGGAGCGAGCAGCGGGCAGTGAGCTGCGTGGGGCAGACCCTGCCGGGACTCCGGATGTCCCCCACCCAGAGGCTCACCCCCCAGACCTCCGCGCCAGAAAGGGGCGACTCCAACACTCCCACCCAAACCAGGTCCCGACAGGTCGTGCTGCAGCAAACAGCTCCCGGGGCTCCCGGAGGCTGGGCGTGGGGCCCACAGCAGCAGAGGCACCCCCCGCCCCAGCCCCAGGTCGGACGGCAGTCGCGGAGGTCCTAGGGTCCCGGGTGGGGAAGCCGGAGGGAGCCCCCAAAGCCGGGCCGCGGACAGCGCCCGGCCCCCTCCGGCGGGAGCGCGCCCGCGGGGCGGGGCTTCCCGGCGACGACCAATCAGCGCGCGAGCGGGAGGCCCGGCCCGCGGCGGCCCCTCCGGGCCGGGGGCGCCTCCCCCGAGCCGGGGCCCGGGGAGGAGCCAGGCGGGGCCGAGCGCCGTGACGGGGCCCCACGCGGGAGCGGGAGCGGGAGCGGGGCCGGCGCCGGCTCCCCGCGGCCCGGGCGGGGGCGGGGGTGGGGGCGGGGGGGCCGGGGCTCCGGACAATCCCCGCGTGGACACAACGGCCGGCGCGGGCCCCCGGCTTCCGGAGCGCGGGCGCGGGGCCGGGGGCTCCGTCCCCCGCGCGACCCGGGCGCCCCCACGACCCCGGCCCACGCCCGGATCGCGCCGGCCGGCCCGGGGGTCCAGGGCGGGGGTCCGGGCGGGGGTCGCGGGCGCGCCCGCCCCGCCGCCCCCCCCCGGCGGCGCCCAGGCCGGCCCGGGAGTGGCGGGCTGGGGTCCGGGCGGGGGTCGCGGGCGCGTCCGCCCGGCCGGGAGGGAGGGAGGGAGGCAGGGGCGGGGGCCGCGCGCCCCGGGCCCAGGGCCGCGAGCGCGTGGCCGGCCGGGCGCGGCGCCACTCACCTCCGCGCGATCCGGTAGAGCAGCACGCCGGCCGCGGCGCACGCCGTGACGCCCAGCCCGCCGGCCAGGCCGGGCGCGGGGCAGCGGGCCAGCAGCGCGCTCACGCCCTCCATGGCGGCGGCGGCGGCGGCGGCGGCGGCGGCGGGGCCCGGGCGGGACGCGGGGCGCGGGCGGGACGCGGGGAGGCGGCGGCGGCGGCGCGCGCGGCCCGCGCCGTGACCTTCGCCGCTTTGTAGCCGCCTCGGCCACGCCCCCTGACTCGGCGCGCGCCCGCCGCGCGGCCAATGGCGGCGCGGGGCGGGCCGTGTGGGCGGGGCCCGGCCCGGCGGGAGCCTCCGCGAGCGCCCCCGCGCGGCCGGAGACGGGGCCCGAGCGCGCGCCCGGCGGCCCCGCCCCCCGCGGCGTCTCCCCGCCCGCTAGGCCTGATGCCACTTCCACGGGGGCCACTGCAGTCAGACAGCAGCCCTAGGACAGAAGCTGAAGCAAGCCCAGAATGAAACCTCGCTTGGGAAGGAAGCCCAAGGTCTGGGGGGGGGCTCCCCCCCAAAAAACGGTGCATGGTAATTTGTAGATCCCCATCGTTTGTGTTTGAACCAAGTAGATAATGGTTTAGGAACGGAACCGCCAGCAGCCGCTGGGTGAGGTCAGGGAGGGAAAAATGATCGTGATGGAAACATTTCTGGGACCCGGCCAGAGCAATAGTTCCGCCTTGCATTCCATATGGTACCCTGAGCACCGCCAGGAGTGATTCCTGGGTGCAGGGACAGGAATAACCCCAAAGCATCGCCAGGTGACCCCAAAAAACAAAAAGCAAAAAAAAAATCCTTCTGGGGGTCCCAAGCAAGAGGACAGCGCCTAGGGCACTTGCCTTGCATGAGACCCACCCTGGGTTCGATCCCCCCTGCCTTCCATATGGTCCCCCTGAGCACTGCTGGGAGTAATTCCTGAGTGCTGACCCAGGAGTAACCTCTGAGCACCAACAGGTGTTACGCAAAACGCCTCCCTCCCCGCCCCAAAAAACCCCCCGTATTTCTGTCTTTTGCGCTTAAGAGTTCGGCAACAACATTCCACACTCCAGAAGAGGCATTTAAGGGCTCTCACCATTGGGGCCAGAGCACAGAGTTTGCATGCCGGAGGCCTGGTTTTCATTCGGAACCCCACAGCCCTTGAGCTACACTGGGTACAGGTCCCAACGCCAAAATAAACCAACAAATGGGTTTGAATGTCAGATTCTGATTTGATCTGTCCCCCAATCTGGCCAGGAAAGAAGTGGAATATCCCGCGTGAGGCAGGTGGTGTCCTGTCGCAGCGGCCACAGCCTGTCCAGGAACAGACACAGATTTGGAACCCGATCACCATAAGGAACAGCCACTTGTTTCCTGGGGAGATGGACACACCCTTCCTGGGCCCCGCCCCAGACCCTGTGACTGTGGGTGACTGTCCGTGTGGCGCTGTCAGGACCTCTGGGAAAGGCACAGACCAAGCACGAAGGGAGATCACAAGTAAAAAACTCGAGGTCTGTGTAACCACATGTCTGAGCCTTTGGGGTCCTCAGACCACGCGGCCCTCAGGCTGCTTTACCTGTGACACTGCTCTTCCGGCGTCAGGATTCAATCAGAAAACATGTCACACCCTGCACAGTGCCTGGCACACACCAGCTAAGCAATCGGGGTGGTTTTGTATTTGTTTTTGTCATTGCAGGGGCTACCAGGGCTGTTATCTAGCCATGCTCGGAGGGCCCAGGGATCGAACCCAGGGTCTTGCACATGCAAAGGGTGTGCTCCACCACCAAGCTGCATCCCTGGTTTCAGCAATCAGGTTTCTGAAGTTTTTTTTTTTTTTTTTATAGATGTGTCTTTTGTGTATAGGTATTAAAAAAAAAGAAAAGAAAAAAAAAAAGAAACCAGGAGGTAGAGAGTTGGAGTAAACCCTGGGATTCCTCTATTAACGCCGTCTGCTTCTGTGTGTTTCTGTCTTCCTCTCGGACGGAAAGGCCCGTCTCCTCCATCCCCATGCCCCGATGCAGGAGAAGCAGAGAACTCAGCCACGGCAGGACAGCACCCAATTTATTAATTCAAAAAGGCGAAACAACGATTTCCAAAGATTCTCATACCCACTCAACGAAGAGCAAGCAGGGAACTGTTAAGATTCCTTTCCGATCGATCCAATCGTGCGGAGACATTCAGCCTTTGAGTGTTCAAAGAAGAGAGGCTGTGACGAAGTGCCACGGCCCGACAGCTTAAAGGAGCTTCTGCAATGGAAGCCACTTCTCTGCCACGTTTAGGAAGCAGGGGCCGCTGGGCAGGAGCACTGATGGGCGACTCCTACATGCTTGCAGAGTTGGAGCGAATGACACGGGAGCACTCGGGAGTTCTGTGGCCAGCAGGATGAGCTCCGGGTTCTCAGTTCTCCTGCCTTGGGTATATTCGGGTGGACCCCGCATGTGAAAGCCTGTCCCTGACTGCCCCTGCCTCTCCCTCCTGTTCCTTGCGGGGCCCGGACTGGGGAAGGAGCACAGTGGGTAGGCGCTGGCATACACGCAGCTGGCCCAGGTTCGATCTCTGGCATTCCAAATGGTCCCCTGAGCTCCACTGGAAGTAATCTCTGAGCTCAGAGCCAAGCGTAAGTCCTGAGCACAAAAACCAACCCCTCACCTCACCCCTATAAATACTGAGTCCCTCAGAGCCTGGTAAATAGTGCAAAAACCTGAGACATGCCCGGCATGCCAGCGCCTCTGGATTTGATCCCCGGGGTCCCCAGCACTGGTGGAGAGGCTCCCCTACAAGTCCCCCAATGGGGCCATTTCTCATTATGAGTTTATTTTTGTTTTGCTTATTTTTGGGGGGCGAGGGCATCTTCCAGGTGTACTCAGGAGGCTGAGGGTTCTTCATGGAAATTCTTGGCCGACTGAGCCTGCAGTTCAATCTGACGGCCCAAGGATGCAGCGCTGCTTGGGCCGTGGAGTGGCGGGAATTAGCCAGGCTACCCCTGCAGTGCTCAGGAGTCGTGCAAGGAGAGCACCTTCTCTCTCCAGCCTGTTTTACTCTGAGCCGGGTATTCAGGGAACACCACCCCTCCGGTCAGGTGGGCAGCGACCTCCCAACTTTGCGTCTGCTCCTCATTAAGCAGGAGAGACCCAAGTATGGCTCGGAGCTCAAGGGGGGGACGCTGGGCGGCACCCTCCGGCCCAGGAGGCCACAGCTGGGGCTGCCAGGGCACCTGCACCCGCCTTTCGGAAGCACCAACCGAAGCATGGCAACTGGCACAGTTCTGGAAAATGTCTACCTTTGGGGTTCGCGCTGAAGAAGAGAAGGGCGTCAGAAAAAGGGGTGCAGCCTGAAGTGCTTGGGGCCGGAGAGGTGAGGCTTGGAAATGTCCAAGGGTGGCAGGAAGAGAGCGGGGAGGCCGGGCTCAGTCTGTGCAAAGCTGCCAAGTGCGACACCTGTGCCCTGCTAGGCAGCGGGCCTTGGGTCGGAAGCAAGCTGAAGGCCGGTCTGCAGAAGCCCTCGGCTGGCATTTACGGCACCGTGAACGCAAAAGAGAACGCAAGCCAAATTCATACTTAAATTAAATAGCATGATTTAATTTAATGCAGCTTAATCCTGGATATTTTTTTTTAAGTTAAAAAAAAAAAAGTTTTAACGAACTCTAAGTCACGAGTGTCACTGTCCAGAAACCAGGCTCCAAGGCGACGTCCGGCAGCTGCTCGGGGCAGCCAGTCTGTGGCCTTTGTGTCTCAGTCTCAAACATTCTACACATCAACTGAAAAAAAAAAAAATTTTTTTTTCTGGAGTTTTTCAGTTTTATTCTTCTAGAGCACAAGTTTCGGGCCTGCTACTGAGAAGGGTCTTCTAACAGGTACACAATGAGCTCGTAAGTGGACAGAACGATGGCCGTGTTGGGGATCTGCCGGATGAGCTGGGCAAAGAGTCCTCGGTAGAACGCCAGGTACCCTTCTTCCCGGAAGACCAGGCGCGCCGTCTGGATGAAGGACTTGTACTTGGTGCCCTCCTCGCGGAGCCGCGTCCTGATGACCTCTGCGGACACAAGCACGGGTTAGGAACGCCAGGCAGGGGTGACGGAAGGGGATGTTCCTTCTAGAACACTTTCGACCTCTAGAATGATGGAGGCCGTCAAAGATGCTAACAGGTCCCTGACTTAAAATCGCTAACTTTGTTTTGTTTTTGCTTTTTTGGGCTGGAGCGATAGCACAGCGGGTAGGGCGTTTGCCTTACAAGCGGCCAACATGGCCAACCTGAGTTCGATTCCTCCGCCCCTCTTGGAGAGCCCGGCAAGCGACAGAGAGTATTCGATATGCCAGACACAGTAACAACAAAGTCTCCAATGGAGACGTTACTGGGCCCGCTCGAGCAAATCGACGATCAACGGGAGGGCCTTGTTTTTTTGGGGTCACACCTGGCGATGCACAGGGGTTACTCCTGGCTCATGCATTCAGGAATTACTCCTGGCGGGGCTCGGGGGACCATATGAGATGCTGGGAGTCGAACCCGGGTCGGCCGCATGCAAGGCAAACGCCCTACCCGCTTGAAGTTCTTTCAAAGTTAGCGATTTTAGGGGCATCACTCCAGTCCCTAAAATTGCTAACTTTGAAAGAACTTCGAAGACCTGAGTGTGAATGAGACTTCCTCTTAATTCCCAGAATCTAGGGGAGATGATTTTGGAAAAAAAAAACAAAAACAAAAAACAAACAAACAAACAAAAACACCAGCTGGCAGGAAGGCCCAGGAAGATGGGGCACGGATGTACTGATGGGGCTTATTTTTAAAGAGTTTATGCTTTTAGGGCCAAGGAGGAGGCCGAGTGTCAAGCGTAAGCCATTGTTGCAGGGGACCTAGGTCGAACCCCAAGAATGTGCGCGCGCGTGCACACGCACACACACACACACACACACACACTTTAATCTTTTTCTATTCCCAACCAGTTACACACTGTGCCAGTATCCTCGAGAAGTCTCTTTGGAGGGCGGGGCCGGGGGCACCCACTAGTGCAGAGGCCCAGCGGCTCTGCCAGCCAATTCTGGGCCTGCCGGGCTGGCGGCTGAACACGAGGGCCGGGTGGTGAGCCCCAAAAGGCCCTAGAGCATCGGGCTCCTTCTTGCTAAGGACCCCAGGAGTGCTGGGGTGGGGGAGGGTCCTCCGAGGCTTCCTGCGCAGGGACAACACTGGGCCCATCTGCAGCCTGGTAGGGCCTTAACCCCTGTACTGACCGACCCGTGTGTGCTCCCTCCTCCAGTGCCTGCTCTGGGTGCGCCCCCACCCTCCTTTCTAACCTTGGCCTGCCTGCCCCCCTGTCCTCGGTGCACGCGTGGCTCTGGGCACTGGCCAGCGAGCTGACCCGTGAGCTGCCCTGCGCCCCGAGCCCCGAGCACCTACCGTGGGGGTACGCGATGCAGGAGGCACAGCCCTTGGAGAGAGCAGCGGCTGCCATCAGTCCAAAGAAGCTCGTGGACGTCTTCTCCGCCCCGCCGGTGGCAGAGGCGAACGGGGCCTCTTTCAGGTACTTCTTCAGGCTCTCGTAGATGGCAAAGCAGATGATGGTCTCGGAGATGCCGGCGTAGGAGGCCGTGAGGCCCCGGTAGAAGCCGCGGATGCCCTCGGTCCGGTACACGTAGCGCGCGCACTGCAGCGTGTTCATCTGCTTGGAGCCCCGCACCCTGCGCGGAGAAGGTCCACGCGGGCCGGTCAGCGCCCGCTCCACGCCCCCGGGGCTGGGTGCCCGGCTCGGTGGTCCTCCCCGACCCCGGCCTGTGTCCGTGCAAATGCCACGGGAACCCGTCCCGGGCCGGGATCTCGTCCCGGAGGGTGCGACGGACACCGCGCTGCCCGCGTGGGGGAGGAAGGACAGTGCTCTCGCCCCGAGGCGCTCGCGACCCTCGGGGTGCAGGAGCCCCGGGCCCACAGCCAGGGCCGGAGCCACGCGTCCCCCGGCTTCCCGCCCCATCCTTCCTCTGCTGGCTCCGACAGTCAACACAGACAGGACAAAAGAGGCCTTCAGAGAGGCTGCCCCTGTCCCTGACCCCGGGGGAAAAGGACTCCCTGATGCAACTGGGGCTCCGGGGTCTGACAGCTGACGCTGCTCTACTTGCTAAGCCGGGACAAGGACCGTCCTAACCTGCGGCCAATCACTGGCCCCATCTAACACGCAGCCAGCCAATCACCGGCCCCGTTCTAACCCGCGGCCAATCGCTGGCCCCGACTAACATGCAGCCAGCCAATCACCAGCCCAGTCCTAACCCGCGGCCAATCACCAATCACCGGCCCCGTCCTAACCCGCGGCCAATCACCGGTCCCGTCCTAACCCGCAGCCAATCACTGGCCCCGTCTTAATTCGCGGCCAATCACCGGCCCCGTTTAACACGCAGCCAGCCAATCACCGGCCCCGTCCTAACCCGCGGCCAATCACCGGCCCCGTCCTAACCCGCGGCCAATTACCGGCCCCGTCCTAACCCGCAGCCAATCACTGGCCCCGTCCTAACTCGCGGCCAATCACGGGCCCCGTCTAACACGCAGCCAGCCAATCACCGGCCCCGTCCTAACCCGCGGCCAATCAGCAGCCCCGTCCTAACCCGTGGCCAATCACCGGCTCCGTCCTAACTAGCGGCCAGCCAATCACCGGCCCCGTCCTAACCGCGGCCAATCACACCACCCTCTGACCCGGACTTCCCAGCCTGGACACCTGGCACGTGGCCGAGTGCCCTGGCTGTGCCCATGGAACAGAGCACGCCCACCTAGTTCTCTAAGCTGTGACAGTTAAAAGCTGCCCCCAGACATCACCAGTGTCTCCAGGCGGCGAAGGGCCCCCCTCTCTCGGCCACTGCTATCAAAATAAGCCCAAGGGACGGTCCAGTTAACAACAACGAAAAGCAGCGGCCAGGGAGAGAGCGAGCACGGGGATCCCATTGGAAACCCAAGGCCCTCTGAGCACTGCCGCGGTGGCCCAGGCACCTGAGGCCCGAAGAGCGAATCAAGAACTACTAGGAGGGGCCCCACAGGGGACCACCCACCCCCTCAAAATAAAAGAACCAAAGAAAGAAAAGAAAAGAAAAACCCCAAGGGCTGGAGAGAAAACGGTATCAAGGAATTTGTGTTGCACGTGGCTAAGCCTGATTCAATTCTCAGCACAGCATATGATCCCCAGCACCACCCTGAGTGATCCTGAGCACTGAGCCAGGAGTAAGCCCAGAGCATAGCTGGTGTGGCCCCAAAACAAACAAACAAAAATCAAGATACAAGGAAAAGGAAGTTCAAATTCCGAATGCCACCCAAGCAGTGGCCACCCACCCTGCCCGCCCTCCTCCTGAGCGAGGCCTCCCGCCACTCTCAGACGCTCCCCATACATCCCTACGTCACCCACCAACCACACGGCACACTCTCAAACTAAAGCCAGCACCCTCACTGCCTTTTGCAGGCTCTTCCTGAAGCACTTTAGTCCTGTTTATTTCAGAGGTTCCAAACTTATCTGACACATTGCCCTCTTTTCAGAAAAACAAAAACTTAGTGCTTGCCCCCCTCAAAATCCACCTTAAGGCAAGGCACAGACCCCCCCCCCCCCACATACACACCCTGCACCAGAGGCACCAGCAGCGTTTACTGAGGGTGCAGGCAATGCTGAGACTTGACCCCTGACCCGTGAACACAGCAGGGCGCTCAGGTCTCATCCTGGGAGTGGAAGAAGCGGTGAGCCAGGCCTCCGAGGGCCTCTGTGTCCAGGTGCTGCCCTCATCTCACTGGCCTGGGACTGACAGTGGAGGCAGGGCCTGCCCTGTTCCCGCTTCCTCAGAGGTGCCACGGACATGGCGACCTGCACTGACAAACCCACCCCTAGGTGCGCAGCGTCCCCAATATGGGTCCTTCCAGGGTCCGTGAAAAGAACGCAGAGACCTGGCTTAATAGAAATGCTGATTTTGTTCACTTTTGGGCCCCTCCCCCTCTTGGCAGTGCTGGGGGGCCACACTTGGTGGTGCTTAGAGGACTGTATCGTGCCAGGAAATGAACTGGGGTCTCACGCAGGCCAAGTCTGTGCTCCAGACCGGGGAGACACAGTCACAGACAAGGTCAACAAGCAAATAAATGACCATCTTTACACGAAGGGGTATGATTACATACATGCAAAAGGAAGAATGCGGAAATGCAGGCCTGGGGTAGAGCTCAGTGGCCCGTGCAGGCCTTGTGGCCTGAGGCCCAGCTCTGAGGCCCTCTGAGTTGCCCCTCCCCCCCACCCCGCAGAAACGCAGACCATAGTTCTGGGTGATGATCTGGAAACTCACTGTACCGTTTCCTCCGTGGGGACTATTTCCCCACAATGAGGGCACTTCTTTATAATAGAGAATAATGTTTAACTCATTTAACTTACTGCCAGGTGATCTGCACAGAATATGACCACACCTGCCATCAGCAGATGTCACTGTGGTCACTGTGATGGCAGTGACCTGAGGACAGAAGATACAGCTGGGCAGCGTGGGGAGAGGCCCCCTGCGAGGCGGAGCCCATCAGGGGGACAAGGCCAAAACGCGGCGGTTTCCTGGAAACTGCAGAGGGCCCAGTGTCAAGCGAGGAACGAGGGTTTTCCCTGATGGGAACGGGATGCGGAGGAGTGGTCAGGGCTGGGGCTTCTTTCCGATGGGGGCTGGTCAGAGTACAATGGGCAGGGCCTGGGTTCCATCCCCGGCATCCCAAACGGTCCCCTGAGCACCACCAGGAGTGATTCCTGAGTGCAGAGCCAAGAGTCACCTGGAGTATGGTGAGGCGGGGCCAAGAAACCAAAACGAACAACCAACCAAAGGAGGTTCTTTCACAGCGGATGAGGGAAGGAGGAGGCAAGGGTGACTGCTGGCCGAGGCCTCCAGCCTCCCTCCAGGGGGCGCCCTTGCCCCGCTCTCTCCCGGCTAGGTGAGGGCGACACAGGACTAGCTTCCAGGGGCTGCCTTGTGCCAGTTTCCAGGCACATCTCAAGTGCCCCGGGGGAATCCATCACAAAACGTTCCCCTCACCACTCGCTTCACGTTCCCGGGCCATTTACTACATCGGATGAGATGATCTCACCATCACACTGCGATTCCTGTGAAATGCTTTGGCGACTGGCTTGTCTGTCCTAAGAACAGGCTCCCTGGGCTGGGGACATGGCTCCGGGGTGCGCCCTGCTCCCTGCCTGTTCCCTCTCGATGCCACGGGGCGCCCTGGGCGAGTGCAGGGCAGACACTGGAGCTGAGCCCGAGCCCTGGCGCTCTGCCCTCCACCGCGGGGTGAGCACTGCGGGGCCCCTCGGGTGGGCTGGGCTGCCCAGGGCCAGCGTCCTTCCCCACGGGACTTGTCTGCTGCCTCTGGCTCACCACGGATCTCAACCCTGCACGTGCCGCTGTCGCACAAAACACAGGCAGGTGGCCGCTGAAGGTGGGGGGCCCCCAAACTCCTGTTTCAGGAAACCATAGTAACTCACTTTCGTTCTAGCTGCATCCGGGTCTTAACCATCCATATTGGGTTCATTAAGGTATTCGTGACAAAAGCTGCAAGAGAGAACAGAAAAGGCTGTCACACACAGCCCGGCCCGGGGGCAGTCCGACCCATGCCAGCAGCAAGGCCACAGTGCGGCGAGCCGGGGGCTGGCACCCTGGGCACTGCAGTGGCCCCTGAAGGTGTGCCACAGGCCCTCCAGGGGCTCAGATGGGTGCTGTCTGTCTATCTGTCTACAGGGCCCACACCTCGCCATGTCTGTATGGGGATCAAGCTTGTGGCCTTGAACCTGGGGGCGCGTGCTCCCTGTCGCTGGGCCACGTGGCCGGCCCTAACTGGGCATCTCTGAGATGCCACGCGGGGACACCAGGATGCAGCCTCTAGGCAGGCACGAGGCAGAATGTCACTTCCGGTCTCACGTTAATAAAATACCTCTCCCTTAACAGAGTGACACGCGACAGCCTGTCCTGCAACCTACAACCCTATCTTTGTGGCCACGCATTCCCAGGGGAGGGAGAGCCCTGAGTCAAGGTAGTCACTCCGAGGAGAACAGGGGCGCCTGCCCTGCCAGGGGGCTGCAGGCCTCGGGGATAGGTGCTGACCCCCTGCACCTGCAGCAACTAGGGAAAAGCAGCTGGACTCGGAAAAACGACGGTAACCTGCCCACACGGCAGAGTCTGGCAAACTCCCCGTGGCGTACCCAACATGCCAAATTCCAGTAACAACGAAGGGTCTCATTCTCCTAACTCTGAAAGAGCCTTGAATATGGCACCTTTAAAAAAAATCTCAGGGCTAGGACGAAGGAGACGTTACTGGGGCCTGCTCGAGGCAATCGACGAATAACAGGATGGTCGTGATTATTGTGATTGAGCCGAGAGGACATGGGAAGCACGCTCCGTCAGCAGAAAGTGACCGCCCCGTCGCACGCAGGAGAGCGCGAGCATTTGGGGGCTGGGGCCAGAGCTCTGGAGGGCCAAGGAAAGAAAGGCACTGGGATCCCAGCCACCCGCGACATCCGCCTGACCCACCGGTCCCAACAGTAAGCTCCTGGGGGGCAAAACAGGCAGCGTCAGTGTTGTCTCAAGTGTTGTCGGTTCCCGGGGAGGCGTCTGTGCGGGAGGGCGAGGGGCGGGCACGGGCCGGACACGTACCTGCAGAGCCCGCCGAGAAGATGTGCACCACGTTGCTGTTCGGCACGAAGATGCCGTTGAACTGCTCTTTGGCTTTGGAGTAGCATGCGAAGTACACGGCCCTGCGAGAACGAACAGGAGGTGACTCGCGGGCCAAGCGGGGGCCACGCCACCCTGAAAGGAGAACTGCACGTGCTCCTGCCGGCTCCAGACGCCCTCCAACGGCCCAGAGCGTCCCGAGGCGTTCCAGGAACTGGGCTGAGCGGATACGCACGCTCCACCGACACGCTGCCTTCCGCAGACACTCGCCCCCTCAGCACCAACCCCCACGGTAGCATCCCCCGGCTTTTGCGATGCCAGGGAAGCCCTCACACTCGCAAAGGAAGTGCTGGGCCACTGATCCACACACTCCGTGACTCTGCGTACCTGCAACGTTTCTGAAACACACTCGCACACAACGGCCTGTGCGTGCCTCGTGTGACTGGATGCGATGGGCTGACCAAGGGACCATGGAAGCAGCCCTCATCTGTGTCTTCAGAGGTGCTCCCCGAACCCACTCTCCGTCCTCCCCGCCGGCCCCCTCTTGGCTGCTGAACAGCTGGGGAGGATTTTTCCTGCTCCTTCACCAGCAACGTCGGGGAAAGAGCCGCTTTCCCCCTGGCTGGGCAACGGGCCCGGGATCTATTTCCAACTTAGCCTCGGACTGTGGCACCTGACGCGCTCCTGCTGACACTGTTCAACTCTGTCCCCTTCCAGGCTGGGAGCTGGGCCTGTTTCACACCAACAGGTGTCGCCCAGATCAGGACAGCTGACAGGCAGAGAGCTCGCTTGGTCTCTGGGACGTCAGCGAGCCTGGAGGCCTCTCCATGGCAAACAGCCCCCACGGCCAGGAAGGGCGAGCAGCTGCCTCCCCCGCAGGAAACGCTTCTCTCTCTTGTTAGAAAGAGGAATCCTGCACCTGCCACCCTGCTGGGAGTAATTTCGAGAGACATCTTCTCCCCCTTCCCCAACACTCTGCTTCCCCTCGACACCCCCAACACACGTATCTGCAGCATCAGACCTGCCAGAGCTGCGGGACACACATACACAAATACACACACACACAAACTCACTCTCTCTCTCTCTCTCTCTCTCTCTCTCTCTCTCTCTCTCTCTCTCTCTCGGTCCCTGACCTGGAGACAATCCCAAGAGGTGTCTGTCTGTCTGTCTCTGTCACACACACACATCTGCAGCATCGGACCTGCCAGAGCTGCGGGACAAACATACACAAATACACAAATACACACACACGCACACACAAACACACACTCTCTCTCTCTCTCTCTCTCTCGGTCCCTGACCTGGAGACAATCAAGAGGTGTCTGTCTGTCTGTCTCTCTCTGACACACACACACACACACACACACACACACACACACACACACACAGAGTCCCTGACCAGGAGACAATACCAACAGGCATCTCTCTCTCTCTCTCTCTCTCTCTCTCTCTCACTCACACACACACACACACACACACACGGTCCAAACAGGCATGTGTGTCTCTTTCTCTCTCACAGACACACACACGCACGGGCATGCGCACGCCTGTGGCTGTCACTTTCTCATCCCCAACCCCCTGAGCCAGCTGAGATGCTTACCTGGATGGTGCAACTCCAACCAAATTTGGACCCAAGCCTCTGAAGAGTGACTTTGGTCCTTCTTTCTCCAAGATTGACCTAAAGAACAGACAAGAAAAGGGGCATCGTTAAGATCCTCAGGTACATGCCCGTGACCAATCGCCGCATGAGAACGAATCTACCGAAAGGCCCAGGGATGCAGGTCTTGCGAATGAAACCTCCAGGCTCTCCGAGTTGGGAAAGGGCGACCTCTCTGCACCTCCCTGATCTTCAGGGAGCCTGGCAGCCACGCCCACCAACTACCTTTGGGGCCACAGAAACTCATTAACACGGTGATTCTGAGACTCACAAATAAATCTAAGAGAGCAACACACTGCAGGGATGCCTCCGGATTCCAAAGTCACTATCGAGTTAAAAATTTAACCACAGCTGTATCACCCTATTTAAAAATTTAGAATTCCTGGAGCACTCAGCTGCCATCTAATGGACCACAGTACAAGGGCTAAATGTCTCCTGGGGGAGACATGACAATCTTCACACACTCTCTTCAAGGAAACTTTTTGGGATCATTTTTAGTAGATTATTCATATGAGCAATACAAAATAAATTATTTAGGATCTGCCTTTGGGGCAGGCTTGGATGTAGTACTGTAGCACTGTCCTCCCGTCGGTCATCGATTTGCTTGAGTGGGCACCAGGAACATCTCCATTGTGAGACCTGTTTGGCATATCGAATACGTCACGGGGAGCTGGCCAGGCTCTGTTGTGCGGGCGAGATACTCTCGGTAGCTTGCCGGGCTCTCCGAGAGGGGCGGAGGAATCGAACTCGGGTCGGCCGCGTGCAAAGCAAACGCCCTACCCGCTGTGCTATCGCTCCAGCCATAGCTCCAGGCTTGGATGATGGTGGGAAAATTCGAAATAATGGTGGTGGGAAGGTGTTATGGTGGGGGACTGGTGTTGGAATATTGAATGCAAAGTTAAACTATTGTGAACAACTTTATAAAAAAAAAAAAAAGAAAAGAAAAAAGAAAAAGATCCTCAGGTATAAATCCTGCAAGAGCGAAGAAGCCACCTCGACTTCAAAGGGGCAGCGTCTGCCCGGCCCTGCCTTGTGTGCGGCCTCCGAGAAGCCCCCGCCTCGTGTGTAGACACCCGCTTCCAAATCCTACCAAGGCTGGTGGGCACATGCCTGAGGATGCGACGTGTCCCAGAACGAGATGCATGGAGAAACCGACTCGAGTTGTTTTGGATGGTGTTTCTGCTCAATTTACCCTGGGCCTAGAATATGACCCTGGTCAGTGTTTCCTGAAGGGGGTGATAACCTCCCACCCACGATGCTGGCACAAACCAGGGGCAGCAGGAGTCTCGGGTGTAAACATGGCAAGCTACCGAGAGTATCTCGCCTGCATGGCAAAGCCTGGCAAGCTACCCAGGACGTATTTGATATGCCAAAAACAGTAACAACAAGTCTCACAATTTGTTGTGAGATGTTACTGGTGCCCGCTCGAGCCAATCGACGAACAACGGGAGGACAGTGCTACAGTGCTATACACAATATATATATATATATATATATATATTATTTCCTGGAGCCCCAAAAGCCTCCACCCCTCTTGGAGAGACTGGCAGTCTACCAAGAGTATCCTGCCTGCATGGCAGAGCCTGGCAAGCTACCCATGGTGTACTCGATATGCCAAAAACAGTAACAATGACAGTCCTCATTCCCCTGAAACCGAAAGAGCCCCCAATACGCCATCAGGCTACTCTGGCACGCAGCAGGGACAAATGGAGACGTTAACTGGTGCCTGTTTGAGCAAATCAATGAACAACGTGATGACAGCGAGATATATATATATATATATGTTATATATAACATATTATAAGGGGGGATGGGGGGAGAGAGAGAGAGAGAGAGAGAGAGAGAGAGAGAGAGAGAGAGAGAGAGACTGAGATTCTTCCAGACCCCGCGGAAGGCTGAGGCGTCTGGGGCCCCCGGGGCGGGTGAGCCCAGTGCCCGCCCAAGCAAGAGCAGAGCAGCAGGAAACATCCACACTCCGCAACCGCCTCCGTGCTCCCAGCCACACTCCACTGCTCGGGAGGAGCCTCAGTCAGAAATTAATCCGCTGAAACACCTGGTGTGTGGGTCGGTGATGCAACCTCCAGGCTCTCGTGGAGCCGATGAGCCCCCTCCCCCACCTCCTGGCTGTCACCACATGCCCCAGTGCTGCCACCCGGTTAGAACCTTAACTCCGGCTGCATCGCTCCGTTAAAAAGTCTGGACTTCCTAGAGCGACATCGCAAACTCTACCACACTGGTAAACTGGGCTGGATGGGATGTGATACAGCGGGCATCCAATCTCAATTAACAAAACATCAACCCATGGGGCTGGAGTGATAGCACAGCGGGTAGGGCGTTTGCCTTGCACGCCGCCAACCCGGGTTCGATTCCCAGCATCCCATAGGGTCCCCCGGGCACCGCCAGGAGTAATTCCTGAGTGCATGAGCCAGGAATAACCTCTGTGCATCGCCGGGTGTGACCCAAAAAGAAAAAAAAAAAAACCAAAACAAACAAACAAAAAAACAGAAGGCTCACCCTGTAGCAACATCTCAGTAGTAACCGCTCACACTATCGCTCAGTAAGGGCTCCAGGGTGAGACACAACAATCTTCACTAACTTTCCTCTAAAGAGGCAGTTTTTAATCATTCTGTTAGCGAATTATTGATAAGCAATAGGAAATGAATTACTGAGGGCCTGCTATGAGGGCAGGCTTGAGGGGTGGTCAGGAAACTTGGCAGACAATGGTGGAGGGAAGGTGATAATGGTGGGACTGGTGTTGGGATACTGAATGCCAGTAACAAATCCTCACGGACAGCTTTGCAAGCCACAGTGCTGATATGAAGTGTAAAGGGAAGGGCTGGAGCCATAGCACAGCGGGGAGGGCGTTTGCCTTGCACGCGGCAGAGCCGGGGTTCGATTCCCAGCATCCCATAGGGTCCCCTGAGCACTGCCAGGAGTGATTCCTGACTGCAAAGCCAGGAGTAATTCCTGTGCATTGCCAGGTATGACTGCCCCCTCCCCCCAAAAAATAGTGTAAAGGGAAAATAAAAAAATAAGTAAAAAAAATTGTAAAGGGGCTAGGGGGGTAGTAGAGTGAGCAACGCTTGCCTTGCACGTCACTAAACCCAGCTGAGTCCCTGGTGCCAAGACGGCCCTGTGAGCACCGCTGGGTGTGGTCCACGGAAAATGCACAAACAGAATTAAATACGGCTCCGAAAGGATGCAGGGTCCATTCCTTCAAGGCCTTTCTCCACTCCCACTCGGCTTGTTAAGTTCGTTCTTCTCAATGGCGCGACTTTCTCAGGATCCCAGGGGACCCACCGGCACATTTCGTTCCCCACCAGGCTCCTCTTTGAGCACTTCCCGGGCAGGAAGCCAGGTGGCCCAATGGTTGGGTGCTGGAGCAAGGCACGAGTGCTGCTCGTTGTGGGGGCTGTAGGGCCACGTCTGGTGGTACTGGGGCCTCTCCACTGAGCCCGGGGCCACACAGTGCCTGCAAGGTACATGCCCTGGGCCGAGCCCTTTGAAGGACTATTTTTCTGGGGAGGGGGGACAGGAAGGAGGGGAGGCCTTTCCTTTGCTGGGGTCCACCAGGCTCCACCCCCAGCACCATGTCTGGCTCCCCCGAGCACCACCAGGAGCGATCCCTGAGCACCACTGAGTGTAGCCCCCAATCAAAGATCTTAATAAAGATTTCTTACTTTGGGTATTGGGGGACGCCCTAGCATGGCTGGGGGCCACTGGGGTGACACCTGGTGGTGCTCTGGAGGGTCGTGCTCGACACTGATCCAATCTCCTTTGCTGAGAACTTTCCTTCACGTGGGAAACTGTGCCTGCACCGTGACACCTTCTAAGCTGACGGAGCTCAAAACTAAAGGGGTAGAGTCTGCCTTGCACGTGGTCAACCCACGTTCAGTCCCAGTGTCCCACATGGTCCCCCGAGCACTGCCACTGAGTGTCTCTGGGTGTGGCCCCCAAACATACACATACACACACACTCGCCTTGTCTGTGGGAGCTGAGGTGAGGCTTTATCTTCATTTTGATACCAAAGGTAAAGAACAACCTTTCACTGCTCGGAAAAGATTCCTGTAAAGCTAACAGTGGGGGTCAGAGCCATAGTACAGCAAGGAGGGTGTCTGGCTTGCACGTGGCCAACCCGGGTTCAATCCCAGCATCCCATAATGGTCCTCCAAGCACAGCCAGGAGTGATTCCTGAGTGCAGAGCCAGGAGTAACCCCTGAACATCTCTGGGTGTGACCCAAAAAGCAAAAAAAAAAAAAAAAAAAAAAAGCTAATAGTGAGGCAAATCTGGCCAATTTGTGTTTTATTTTGTTTTCCTGGCCATACCTGAGGGTGCTCAGGGCCCACTCCTGGCTCTGCACTCAGGGATCATTCCCAGTGGCGCTCAGAGCACCATACTGGGTGCTGGGTACCAAACCTGGGTGAGCCACATGCCAGGCGAGAGGCCCACCTGCTGCTCTCTTTCTGGCCCCTGCCAACTCCTATTTCAGGCAACTTCTGCTTTCCCGGGGAGCGCGCGCTCCACAGCCCAGGCGAAGGCGCAATTCATTCTCAGCCTTTGAGGTCGAAGCGCTCGCCTGGGTGCTCTGACACTTGGTGCTCGACGCAGGCTCCCTGGGGACTGCTCGCTCTGCGGTCACCAGGGCTCGAGATGGCACAGTGACTGGGCCATTACCAGGCATGTGGAGCCGCGGCAGGGAGCAAACGCGTGGGCTGAGCAGACTTAAGTGGTCAAAGCGGGTGCTTCCAGCCATGGAGCCATCCCAGGCCCCTTTATTTGCTGACAGATTCCCCCAGATCCTTCCTTCCTCAGAGAGCTGGGGCTTTGCCTGGCTAGATTCTCAGAGTGCAAGACGGAGCATTTCTCCTCTCTTTTTTTTTTTTTTTTTTTGCTTTTTGGGTCACACCTGGCAGCGCTCAGGGGCTACTCCTGGCTCTGCACTCAGGAATTACTCCTGGCGGAGCTCAGGGGACCATATGGGATGCTGGGAATCGAACCCGGGTCGGCCGCGTGCAAGGC